CCATATGAAATATTTATAGAATTAAATTTAATTGACTCCTAGGGGCAGAGGTTCTGAATTTGGAGTAGGTGGAATTAAAAAAATTTTTTTAAATGATGATTTCCTTTGAAATATTATATGTTTTATTTTATGCATTTAAAAACATGATTCTTTGAAGGGTTCACCATAGCCTTTACCAGACTGCCAAAGAGGTCCAAGACACACACAAAAAATCATCAAGAACCCTAGTACTAAGTTATAGAAGTCTTTTAATGGGTATGAGTGAAGGATGTATTGCAATCAATGAAATAACAGATCTTTGAAGTTTTGAAGTGATTGAATTTGGGCAAGTCACTTGATGTGTCTGGGCCTTAGTTTCCTTCTGTATAAAATCAGGGAGGGATAGAATAAGCATTTATTAGGTGCCTACTATGTAACTTTGCTAAGCACTTTACAAGTACAAATGGTCTCTTAAAGTCTCTTTCTGATCAAAATATTGTGGTCCTATGTCTTGCTGTGTACGCCTGGGAATTTACCAGCAATCCCTAGTTGCTGTTGAAGTCCCTTTGATAATTCAAACTTTGTCTTCAGTGATTAAAAGGGATATATTGGGCAACTATGCTGAGTTTCGGATCATAGCTATGAGAGAAGCAGAAGGACCTTCTTTTTCTCTTCCCCCAGTTAGCTCAGGAAATGGTATCAGACTGTGAGGCAATATTGGGGTGTCTTAAGGTGAGATTGCTCTGTTCTTGCTTGATATGACACCTGGTCTTTGCAGGGGCTGTTACATACAACCTGACAATTCTGTTATGTGATTAAGATTTTTAAAAAATTTTGTTTCATTTTCTTTTGTTGCTGGTAAAGTCTTTTTTGATAACTCAGACTTTGTCTTCAGTGATTAAAAGGGACATGTAATATGTTGGATTGTCACTTCTCCCTTTGCCTTCCTTTACAAGACCCTACTCTTTGCACTCTGACCTTCAATCCCTTGACCCCTCAATTCTCTCCCAGGTGATCTTCCTTGCACTAGCCACTCTTTTCTCTTCTCATCAGCTTGACTCTTTGGTGAACCAGTTCAACTCTACACAGTCCTCCCTTGAATCTCTAGCCTCCTTATCATATTGCAGATTACATCCAGCCCAGCTTCAGCCTCCCACTCTGTCTCCTTTACTCTCTCACTTCCTATAGCTCACCATCTCTCCATTCTGTAGCTGAGAACTTTGTCTCATTCTTTATAGGAAAAAAATGAGGCTACTTGCCGTGAACTCCCTCTTCTCCCCTCTTCCTCATTTATCACTCAGGTACCTTCTGCCATTATCTTCTCCTTCACCTCTGTGTCACATGATGAAGTGGCCTTGCTCCTTACCAAGACTAACCCCACTACTTGTTCAAGTGATCCCATTCCATCCTGTCTCTTCCAACAGATTCCCTCACTCTGTCATCCCAGTTTTTTCCACTTGTTTTCAATCTCTCCCTCACCACTGGTTCATTTCTCACTGCCTGCAGATGTGCCTTTGCCTCTCATCCTGAAAAAAATACCCTCACTTGACCCTTTTATCCCCACTTATTATCACCTATCTCTTTTCTACCTTTTGTAGCTAAACTCTTCAGAAAGGCTTTTTATAACGAGTGCCTCTACTTTCTCTCCTCTCATAGTCTTCTCAACCCCTTATAATCTGACTTCTGACCTTATCACTCCACTGAAACTGCTCTCTCCAAAGTTACCAATGATCTCTTAGTTGCTAAATCCAATGGTGTTTTCCCAGTCCTCATCCTTCTTGTCTTCTCTGCAGCCTTTGACACTGTTGATCACTTTTTTTCCCCACAATAATCTCTTCTCTCTAGGTTTTCAGGACACCACTTTCTCCTGGTTCTCCTCTTACCTACCTGACAGCCTCTTCTCTGTCTCCTTTGCTGAATCCTTCTCCAGATCACACGCTGTTAAGTGTCCCTTAGGGTCCTGTCCTGGGGAATCTCATCAGCTCTCATAGATTTAATTACCACCTCTATGTTGACAATTCTACCCCTCCTGCCCCAATCTCTCTGCTGACCTCCAATCTCATATCTCCAACTGCCTTTAAGATATCATGAACTGGATATCCAGTAGATATCTTATATTCAGCATGTCCAAAACAAAACTTATTATATTTCTCACCAAGCCCTCCCTACCTCCTACTTTCTCTGTTACTGTTGAGGACAACACTATCCTCCCAGTCCCTCAGACTCACAACTTGAGAGCCATCCTGGATTCCTCTGTCTTTCTCTCTCTCTCTCTCTTTCCCACCCTTCCCTACCCCTTTATCCAAGCTGTTGCCAAAGCCTGTTGATTTCACATTTGCAACACCTCTCCAATATGTTCTCTGACACTGCTACCACTCTGGTGCAGGCCCTCATCACCTTGTGCCTTGATTACTACAATAACCTGCTGGTGGATCTGCCTACCTCACATCTCTCCCCATTCCGATCTATCTTCCATTCAGCCACTAAAGTAATCTTCCTAGAGCTCAGGTATGACCATGTCTGTCAATAAACTTCAGTGGCTCCACATCACCTCCAAGATCAGATACAAAATGCTCTGTTTGGCATTCAAAACCCTTCATAATCTAGCCCCCTCCTTCCTTTCCAATCTTCTTATACCTTACTTCCCTGTGGTTTCTCTTCAGTCTAGCAACAGTGACCATTTTATGAAGAAGATACTCCATCTCTCAGCTCTGGGCATTTTCTCTGACTGTCCTTTATGCTTGGAATACTCTTCCTCCTCTGCTGCAACTACTGACCCCCTTGGCTTCCTTTAAGTCCCAACTAAAATCCCACCTTTTACAGGTAGCCTTCCCCAGCCTCTCTTAATTTCCTTAGTTTCCTTCCCTGTTTCCTACTTATCCTGTATCTAGTGTTAGTTATTTCCTTTATGTATAGCTTGCTTTGTATATATTTATTTGCATGTTGTCTCCCCCTTTAGATTGTAAGCTCCTTAAGGGCAGGGACTATCTTTTGCCTTTTTTTTTTTGTATCCTCAGCACTTGGCACACTGCCTGGCATGTAGTAGGAACTTAATAAATATTTATTGATTGATTGAACTAAAATCTCACCTTCTACAGAAAGCCTTCCCTGACCCCCATTAATTCTGGTGCCTTCCCTCTGTTGTTTATTTCTATTTTATCCTCCTGTATATAGCGTAAGTGTGTGTGTATTTGTTTGCATGTTACAATCTTCATTAGATTATAAGCTCTTTGAGGACAGGTACCGTCTTTTGCCTTTCTTTGTATCCTCATCACTTAGCAAAGTGCCTGGCACATAATAGACACTTGAAAAAATTATCATTGACTGACTGACTGCTAGCCCTTCAAATACTTGGGAGACAGCTGTTGTATATTTTCCCTAAGTCTTTTTTTCCCTTTTTTCTTCCCATCTCCTTCAACAGAGCCTGGTTTAAGTCCTTTAAGGCCTGGATTATCTCCCTCTGGACACTTTCCATCTCGTCCATGTTTTCCCAAAAATGTGATGCCCAGTACTGAACACATGACTGTGGTTGTGATCAGACACCAGAAGGTTGGCAGGGCAAACAAAGCAGGTTGGAACTGCATTGAGTTACCTAATTGTCTCTGAGCCACATATTGACTTAGTTTTAAAATGTGATGTTATCTGTCTTGTCGTACTTTAATTCATTTAAAAAAAATATTTCCCAATGACATTTTAATCTGGTTCCGGTAGCAGTTGGGAGTGTTGTGGGCCACGTGGGCAGGTTTTATGTTGGCATCTCTGCTCTTGGGTACCCTGAAAAGTTGAGGTATCTCTTTCCTACTACCACTGGCTGGAGCCCCCAAAGACTGTGCTATGTTAGGTGCCATTGGCTAGTGCCCCAGTGATATTTTAAGCACTTAACATCAGTTAACTTTTACAAAGGGTTATTTATTTAAAGATATAGCAAGAATAAAGTACAAACTTCCCCCCTCCTAATACCTCCTCTGGGAGGAGTAGGCCCCAAACTTAGTTTAGTTCTTACATAGCACTGATCCCACCAAGTTCTTCTCAGACGGATGAGTCCTTGTTTTAGGCGACCGCAGGGCTGGGATCCTGAAGGTCAAATCCCAAGGTCACTTTTTGCTCCTTGAGACATTGATGCTATGCTGGCACTCGACCCCAGACTCTGCGATGCTAGGTACCAGAATGACTTCCTGACCTTTTGAACTCACAGTTAGAGGTTCCTAAATCTTTCACTTAAAGTACAAATGTAGGGGTCAAAGCCCTTTCACAGTGCCTCAGACAAGACCTTAGCTTAAAAAGGCCAGTCTATCCCTCTGCATCTGGGGCTATTGCCAGTTGTCCTGATCTATATTTTGCTACTGGATTCCTATTACTCTGGAGGAGAGAGTGAGGATGATGACTTTTCATAGCCTTGCCTCACTTAAATCCGATTCACTTGCAAGTCAAGACTTTACCCCACCTGATGGTTGTATTTTTACATTACAATATGGTACTGTACACGTCCCATAAAAGAAAAAGAAAAAATTCAGACCTCTTCTCTGGCACGTAGTAGGTGCTTGATGAATGTTTATTATTGATTGAACTAAAATCCCACCTTCTACAGAAAACCTTCCCTGATCCTCATTAATTCTGGTGCCTTTCCTTTATCATTGGATCAATAGACCCAAATGATCGTCTTTGATCCTGTCGGAGAAGGAAAGACAAATAACAACAACAACAACCATGATGACAAGGGAAGAAGGTCTGATGACTTCCCTCCTTGTGGTGATGCTTCTCACCCAACCCTGTGAGTGAAGAAGATGTATCACCAGAATGTAGCTGAAGGGGAAAGTTGAGGCTGACCAGCCTTTTTGAATACTTTTACAGCCAATCAAAGAACCTCCCCTGCCCCACATGGTTAGGAGATCACAACCATAGTCTCTCCAACGCTCTTCCCCTAACACACTATCTCAACTCTTTAGGAAGGAGGCTCCGTGATCTCTCACATGGAGAGAGACTGTCCCGTGTGCTCCTTTCTTGCGCCCATCCCCTTGATAGAATGATTGCCTCTCACGTGCTGACACCAAGCTTCTCTTAATGCTGCCCAAGATCATGTAAGCTCATTTCTCTGCCATGTTGTACTGTTGAATTTCACGTTAGCTAGCTTCTTTCCCTTTGTTTGTGTCAATGGGCATGGGGGTGGGTTCTTTTATCCCCACCCCAGCTGTAATCAGATCAATATTGCCATTACTACTCAAAAGAGGGGACAGCTAGATGGTGCAGTAGATAGAGCACCGGCCCTGAAGTCAGCAGGACCTGAGTTCAGATCTGACCTCAGACGCTTGACACTAGCTGTGTGACCCTGGGCAAGTCACTTAACCCCATTGCCTAGCTAAAACAAGACAAAACAAAAACTTAAAAAACAAACAAACCAAAAAACTACGGGAAAGAGTATGTCAATCAACTCTTATGGCTCCACTTAGCATCCCTATGACTTTCCAAACCAAAACACTCTTCCTCGACTACCATTTCCCCGTATGTTTTGTCTCCATCTTTTTGAATGTAAGCTCCTTGAGGGAAGGAATTGTCTTGCTTTTGCATTTGTATCCATAGTGCTTGGCATGGTGGGAGGGAGAAGGAAACAGGAGTTTATTAAGCACCTACTATGTGCACTGTTTTGAGCGCTTTATAGATATTATCTCATTTGATCCTCAGATCCTCACAACAACCCAGGTAGGTGCTATTATCATCCTCTTTCTGTAGTTGAGGGAACTGAGGCCAATAGAAGTTAAGTGACTTGCCTGGGGTCACACAACTACTAAGTGTCTGAGGCTAGATTTGAATTCAGGTCTCCCTGACTGCTCGCCCAGTACTCTATCCATTGCACTGCCAAGCTTGGCACATAGTAAGCACTTAAATGCTTTTTCATTTATTCATGAGTTTGTAATCCATTGTAAGTTTCATATCTTTTTAAATTAAAAAAATTTTTTTTTAAGCAATTGGGGTTAAGTGACTTGTCCAGGGTCACACAGCTAGTGTCAAGTATTTGGTCTGAGGCTGGATTTGAACTCAGGTCCCCTTGACTTCAAGGCTGGTGCTCTATCCACTGCACCACCTAGTTGCCCCAGTTTCGTATCTTTTTCATGAAAAGACTGTTTAGTCTTTATTTCATACTTGTAAAGCTGATTTTTTTTAAACTTAAGGATAGGACTTCCATTTGCCTCTTTTCAGTTCCATCTTATGTGAGTTCTTGTGTTCTATCTGATATCTGATTTCCATTAGTTACTCTGCCTGACTCCCATCATTCTCTCTCCCTGGTTGCTTGCTGGCATGCTTCTGTTCCCAAGGCCCCCGTCTTCAGCTGTGGGACAGGCTCTGTCCCTGGCTTTGGCTCAGAGGGGAAGCCCTGGGCCGTGACTCTGGGCCTCATGGAATTGACATCGGAGTCCAGCCTTTGTGGCTTTCTCTTCGGGCTTGGTGGAGTCTCCATTGGGTGCCACTGAGGAAGGTGTTGTACTGGCCTGCTCCGGCTGCCAAACAGGAACAGCAGGAGGAAAAAGCCCAAAATAAACAAAAGCCTACCAAATCACGAGTCCTCATTCCCTCTCCTCCCCCCATACAATCATATAAGAATGCTAGGGATGGAATTTCAGTCCAACACACATTATTATGCTCGAGGTTCTTTGGGAGGCACTGGGGATACAAAGTGGGGACTAGATTTCTAATTTAATTAGTACAGGGAACTCCCAGATGAAGAAACTTCCTGCACCATTGCAGGTAGGCACACACTCAGCAAAGTTAAGTGTCTTAGAGTCGTCTAGAGCACTGAGAAGTTAAGCAACTTGCCCAGGGCCACACAAAGCCAGGACTAAAACTTGGGTCTTTTTGCCTCCCAGGCTGGCTCTCTCTAACACTGAGCAGCCTAGCAACCAAGGATATCCACACAAAGCCCAACCCCTTTCACATTGTAGGGGTTAGGGGCACATTTCTGTGATTTGGAAAATGCACATAAAATATTTTTGCCCTCCCTTTGTACCAGAGAAGAGGTCTGCATTTTTTCTTTTTCTTTTATGGGGTGTGTACAGTACCTTATTGTAAAATTTAAATATTTGGTCATAGGCTCTGTGTTGTCTGTGGCTTCCACAAAACTCCCAGATTCCCATTTAATTTTTCATGCTGACCCCTGATATATCAGAACCCAGTGGGGAAAGTCACAATGTGGAAGAGATAATTGTAATTGCTGCCCTCAAGGAGCTTATGCTCTTTTTAAAGGAATCTTAGAGTCCAACCCTTCCAATGGGACATGAGTACCTTGGAGACAAGAACTACTTTGATTTTATCTTTGTTGCCCCCGCAGAGGGCTTAATAAGTGTTTGTTGAATTAATTGAATTGAATGTTACAGCTACAACGTAATACTGCATTTATTTTTTTCATTTATCATAGTATTTTATTTTTTCCAATTACACATAAAGACAAATTTTAACATTCATTTAAAAATTTTGAGTTCCATATTTTCTCCCTCCCTCTCTCACCTCCCTCCTCCCTAAGATGGTAAGTAATTTGATATAGGTTATATATGTGTAATCATGTAAAACATATTTCTATTATAGTCATGCTGTGGAAGAAGAAACAGACCAAAAGAAAAAAAAACCATGAAAAAAACAGAATGAAAATTGTATGCTTCGATCTGCATTCAGATCTTTCTCTGGATATGAATAGCATTTTCTATCATGAGTCCTATAGCCAGGAATACCTAAGTCATTCATAGCTGATCATCATACAATGTTGTACAGCAAATATTTATTAAGGGACTGCGAAGTACAGAGCACTGTGCTAGGCTCTTAATATAAAGTTTAGATCAGGCATGGTCCTTCCTAGGTACCCACTAGAGTGCTGAGCACTGTGTGTGTGTGTGTGTGTGTGTGTGTGTGTGTGTGTGTGTGTGTGTGTGTGTGTGAAACAGAGACAAAGAGGACTAAGATTGTTCCTGCCTTCATAGAATTTATGGTCTGGGAAGAGATATGCCTCCAGTATAAGTAAGGCATACTACTGGCCATTGTCAAAACCTGTTCAGTGTGTAGAATTAGAAAGCAGTTTATCAGTCATCTAATCCAATTCTCTTGTTTTACAGATAAGATGAAGCTATTTGTCTAAGATTAGGGGAAGATCTAGGATTAGAACTCAGGTCTCCTGATTCCCATTTTCTCTCTCTCTCTCTCTCTCTCTCTCTCTCTCTCTCTCTCCTCTCTTTCTTTCTCTCTCTCCCCCTCTGTATATCTCCTCAATCTCCTCCTCCTCTTTCTCCCTCTTCTCATCCCCTCCTCTTGCTTTTTCTCCTTCTCCTTCCCCTTCTTCTCCTTTTCTTCCTATCTTCCACACCCCTCCTCTTTCTGCCTCTAGGTCTCTATCTCTAGGTCTGTCTATTTTTTTTTTAACTTCCTCTTTCTCTCAGTCATGGCCACCTGGATATGACAGACAGGAGCCTCACAGCTTGACAGAGTCTGGAGGTGGAGAGGGTGGCTCAGTTCAACCATCAAGGTTGAGGGGTGGATGGGAAAGGCATTTCATTATGTCATAGTTTCAGCTTCTCCTCCTTACCTTGCTTCTTCAGCTGGGTAAAGGCCTAATTCATAAAAGCAAAACCACTATCTTGCACACAGTAGGCACTCAGTAAATATTTGTGTGATGAATGGGTAGCACATAGCTTAGGATGAGTTTCCAGGATGAGAAGGAACTGAAGTGTGTGGAGACTGTCAGTTGGGTGTGTGATGGGAAAGAAAAGGAGCCCATGGGGTGAGATGAAGGTTCCAGAAGTGGAGGGAGAGAAGAGTTTGGCTTTGATTAATTAAATCAGGACTTCTTAACTGTGAGGGTCATGGTTAGATTTCAGAGGACCACAGAAAACTGGGGAAAAAATTACATTCTTTATTTCCATTGACCTCTAACTGAAATCAGCCTTTTCTTCAATTACAAATTAAAACAACAACAACGATGATGACAACAACAAATGTGATTCTGAGAAAGGCTCCTTAGGCTTCATCAGATTGCCAAAGAAGTCCAGGACATAAAGAAGGGTTAAGAACTCCTGCATTAGTTGATAGGGAAACCCAAGGACCATCTGCAGGAAGCCTTTGCAGATTAATCTCACTTAATCTTTACCTTCCCTCCTGCCCCAAGCCCCAGCGTTCCTGTCTGAATAATTCTTATAATTATCAGAGTTAGCTCCCTATAAGCCAACAAATTCAAATTTCAGATCTTTTGTTTAGCACCCGCTCTGTTTCAGGCATTGTGAAGGCATATAAAGATGAAAGAATGAAATAGTCCTTAAGGAGCTTACATTCCATAGAATGATTAGACTGGAAACTTCCTAGAGAGCAGGGATTATGTCTTTTTTTTCCTTCAAAGCACGTAGTAGGGATACATTGAGACTGTGGTCACTGATGATCTGGGGATGAGCTAATTGATGGGGATAGGGTAATCCAATGCATGAGAACTTTCTAAATAGAAGAGATTCTCTTTTGAAAATCAGTTGAGCTTGGTGAGGAACATTTCCAAAGGCTCATAGGCCAAGGTATTGGAGGAGCCCACAGGTAAGAAGGTTAAATTCCAGGTGTAGGGGTTTGTTTGCTTTTAATAACCAAATGTCAAGAATGGGAGGATCAGGGCCAATTTTCAATGGCTAAAGAAAACTTCCCAAGGATAGTGGTGGTGGGGAGTATAAGTGCCAGGTAGACATGGAAGCCTAAGGGTTGGAACTGATGTTAATACCAATAGCTTCTATATGTGTGGTGTCTTTCAGTTTCTTCAGAACAGCCCTTTAAGACATTGGGGCAAATATTGTTGCTCCCATTTTAGGTGCAAGAGAGTGACCTGTTTCGACTTCAGCAATGTTGAAGGTTCTGAAGAGGTGAAAACAATGAAGATAAAATGTAAAGGTAAGGTCACTTTGGATATAAGTAAAAAATCTTGGAAGGGGTCAGAGGCTTTGGATAGCTTAATTGCAGATGAAAAGTCCAGCTGACAATAAACTTGCCTCAGGACAGATTGTCACTAACCATTTGGTTTGCATAGGACCCCTACAGGAATCTGGGAAATGTAACCCATAAGTGAGGTTGGAACCCTACTCTGAACCAGGAAGAATTGCTAAACGGGACAGGCTATACCTCTCCCACCTTTGCCTGGGAGTTGACAAACCTCTTACCTAAGGCCCTGAGAGAGTCAAAGAGAAGACTAAAGATTTCTTCATTTTTCAAAGATTATAGTCGTACTCCGCTGAAAAAAGAGTACTATAATACCCAGTGAAACCAGAAGCTGGATATGATGGAGGTGGCAGACGCCTATTTAAAAGTGGTTTAGGAAGTCCAGTGAATCGACCCTTCCACAGAGAGGTTGCATCTTCTGAAGAACCATCTCAGTGGTGAATGAGGAACTGTTCTGGGTGAGGAGCTGATCAACCCTCTCAGTGTATCCTAGGAGTGTAATGACTTATCCAGGAGAAATGCTGTGCCCTATGTGGAGAAAGCTCAGCTGATCTGTTCACCCAGCTGAGATGCTGTGCCCTTCAAGGAACTAGCTAATCATCAGAGCAAATCAACCATCACCTATACCATGCCGTACAGTGAACTTCATGAGGACTCTGGAGAAGTTGCATCAAAGCCCTCAAGTTCCAGAGTTGGTCAATCTGTGTCACCCATATGTCATGCCATTTTAATTTATGGTTAAGTCCACTCTCCTCCATGGTATCTGAATGTATGTGTGAGACAATGTACCCCAGGTTCTGGGGAGGAATGTTTTGTAACTACTAATCTTGTCATGTCATTTGTATGAGTCTACTGGCTGATTATTAATGAGAAGTACACTGGTGGGGGCTTGCTAATGTTAGGAGAATAGCCACTCACAGAACCTGACTAGAACCTGAGGTAGCAAGTTACACCTCTGGGGACCCAATCTGCCAGTACCAATTTAAGATGTGGAATTGAGCCCAAGAGAGTACCACATATATATGGAGAAATTGAGGCTCAGGAAATGTAAGGGTCTTGCTTACATTCACACAACTATTAAACATGAAGGCTGGGGTTCAAAATCAGATCTGTACACACCAAGTCCAGTCCTCTTTCTATTGTACTATGCAAGGGGTAGGGCATTAAGGACCAGGGATAGAAGGAGTTGGGTTGGAGATTATTGAGTTGGATTAAGAGTCACAATCCTCTGAAGATCATAGCACAGAAGGCCTGATCTTCTCCATTCCTCCAAGGGGAGGCTAGAATAAGTGGAAATGGGATAAAGTTGCTAGTTATAGACTTTCCCAAGTGGGAGGAAGTGTGAGATAGAAGACTGTCATGGCTGAGGGAGACTTTGGAATCTTAAACACAAGGACAACTTTCATTACCTAGGGTGGTATGGCCCAGTCATGCCTGGTTTTTTTCTAGCCTGAAAAGGAGAAGTCCTGGGATGGAGGAAGACCTGCTTGATGCTTCAGTCTAGATGAGTAATCTGGCAGGGAAGAGGATAAGATGGACACAGATTTTGGAGGCAGCTAGTATAGTTGAGAGAATCAGGGGACTGGCAGCCAGGGAACACGTCCCTTAATGGCTAAGTGACTTTGGTTAGGTCACTTTCCTTCTTGGGGACGCAGTCTTTATCGAGGAAGTAGGGCCAGATGACCCACAGGTTCCTTTCCCTTTCTGACCCTCTAGGACTTGAATTCAAGCCCTGGCTTGCGTATTTACTAGCTGGGTGACTCTAGGCAAGTCACTTCATTGCTTTCTGGGCCTCTGTTTCCGTCCCTGTGAAGTGGCTATAAATCCACATCCTAGGGTCCAAGTGAGGAAAGAGCTTTGTAAGCATTAAAGAACTAGTGAGATAGATGTTAGTTATTATTTACATATTTCTAGGATCAAGAAGGGTTGAGATAAATTCCTGGATGACCAGTCCAGCATGGGTTATTAAGAGGAAATGAGAAGTTAGGAGTACATCCTTAAATTTAAGATTGGCAGTAAAGGGTGGGACAATCTATCCCCTGTGCTGTCCTATGTATAGGATCAGGGTGGGGAACCTGTGGCCTCGAGGACACATGTGGCCCTCTAGGTCCTCAAGTGTGGCCCTTCAACAAAATCTATTCAATAGGCCACACTTGTGGACCTAGAGGGCCATATATGGCCTTGAGGCCACAGGTTTCCCACCCTTGATTAGAGCATGAGGGGGACTCTAGAAATCATTTAGTCCAGCCTTTTATATTCTGGGTGAAAAAAATTGAGGGTCATAGAGATGTGGTAACTTGTTCTAGGTTACATAATCGGTGTTGTACAGTCAGGACAGGCCCCAGATCTCCCAACTCCGATCCAATGTTCTTTCCAGTGGACCATATTGCCTTTTAGTTCCTTCGTTGGAGACCTAATCTTGGGTTGGCTTGACCACAGGATTGACCTAGGATGGCATTTCCAATGTCGTCACATTTAAAACCCCCTACCTATTCTTGTGATACCTCATAGATCACAGCTACTCCCCTAAACTCTAAATCCCAGGTTTTGGAGGTGGGAAGTACTCACCTCATAGGTTTGGTGTGAGAATAAGCTGAGAAAGCATATGCAGAGTGCTCTGCACAGTGCCAGGCACACAGTAGATGCTTAATAAATGCTTACCCTCCCCCCCCCATTAGTCAACTCTTGAATTGTCAGTGTGAACAGAAGATACCTGAGCAAGGTACCCTGAGCCAGCTCCTTTTGGAAAGGTTGTATCAGTCCCCAGGAGACTGGGTTGTGGGCAGTAGATTATGTAGAAATGGAGGCCAGTTAGGAGGTTCACAGAGAGCAGGCCTTGGGCATTCCTAGGCCCTGGCTCCACCACTCCTCCAGGAGCCCCTGTCTAGGCACTGCCATCACGGGTTCTGGAATGTGCATGCTGGGCTCACGCCAATGGCACTTCAGGCATGTGCCCTGCCTGCTGCTGGGTGGAGAGGTACAGGAAAAGGGATTTCACAAGGGGAAACTGGAGGCAGGGTGGCTGGCTGGCTTCCTCTCTCCCTCCCACTCCAGCACCACTGTCTCTGGTTCCATGGGGAGCCAAGGGTGAGAAGAAGAAATGGAGAATCGGAGGAGGTGGCTAGAACCTTCTTTGTTTCCCTGGGAAATACTTCCAGCCTCTTGTTTTGATTCTCCTGAAAGAAATGCCAGGCCAAAGATGATGTTGGCTTCTCACGGGAGTCTGCCTCAGGACCTGCTCTCCTTATTTCCCACTTCTCAGGTTGTCCTTCTTGGCCTGTCTCCTCATTCACCACCTCTTGTGCACCAGCCCCCTCATTTCTCAGGATCCCCAGTGGGGGCTTTCAGATTAGCCATAGTGGAACTGAGCTGATCTCTGCCACAGCAGGCACCAGCCTGGTGCTCTTCAACCTTAGAACCCTCCTGGGGTGTTTTCCTTCCTTCTAATCTTGCTTGTTGTCCAGTCTCCTCCTCCAGGAAGCCTTCCCTGACTGACTCCACCCAGTTCTATTTCTTTCTTCCAACTTTTCCATACATAGTCCACATTCTTGTCATATATCACCGATTTGCTGGTCTGTTCCTTGGGCGTGTGGCCTGTGTCATCCATCCATCTGTGTGGGAGTTCTCTAAGGGCAGGTCCTGGTCTCTTTCCTTCTTGATCCTCTTCTCTTTTCTCCTTCCCAGCAGAATGAAACACCAAAGATTGTATGAAACAGTTAATATTGACAAAAATTCAATTAAATATGCAACAGGCATTAATAATGTATAATTTAATAAAATGCCTCCTACATGCACTGTTTCCAATACCAGGCCTACAAAGATGAAAAACAACATTTTTAGAGGTGGGTAAGATGGTATGGAAAAAGGATACAGACTTTGGCATCAAAGACCCTAGGTTGAAATCCTAGCTCTGCAGAATCAGGAGAACGTTGTACCCAGTAACAGCCACATTGTGCGATGACTAATGTTGATAGACTTAGCCCTTCTCAGCAATACAAGGATCTAAGACATCTCCAAAGGCCTCATGATGGAAAATGCCATCTACAGCCAAGAAAGAACTATGGAGTTGGAATACAGATTGAAGCATACTATTTGCTATTTTTTTCCCTTCTGTTGTGTTTTGTTTCCTCTTTCTGGTGGTTCCTCCTATTGGTTCTAATTCTTACTTACAACATCACTAATGTGAAAATGTGTTTAATAGGAATGTATATGTATGGCCTATATCATATTGCACACCGTCTTGGGGAGGGAGGTGGGGAAGGAGGGGGAGAAAAATTTGAAACTCAAAAGCTTGTGCAAGTGATTGTTGATAATTCAAAATAAATTGATTAATAAAAGAAATCCTAGCTTTGCTACTTAATATCTGTGTGACATTAGGCAAGTCACTTGAACTCAGTTTTCTTGTGAACTTGGTCTCAGTTTTCTGAGCAGTCATATGAAGGGATTGGACTAGATAATAATTATAATTGGTAAATTTTACAGTGCTTTAAGGTTTAAAAAGCACTTTACATATATTATCTCATTTGAAATAACCCTGTGAAGTAGGTGCTATTATTATCCCCATTTTCCAGATAAGGAAACTGAGACTGAGAGGAGTTAAGTGACACGGTCACACAGCTAGTGTTTGAGTCACGATTCCAACTCAGATATTCCTGACTCTAGAGTCCCAGACTCTATTCACTATAGCATATAGCTGTCTGTAATCTATGATCCTTTTAACATAAACCCTCCCCTTAAGGAGACTGCAGTCTACCAGGGAAATATGAAATGTACACAGACAAATATGATACAAGGTAGAGAGTGATGGGAGCTAAGGAGAAATTTAGCTAAAGTCATCTAGGAAAATTTAAGAAGGGAGGTAATCATTTTTAGCTGAGGGCATCAGGGGAGGCTTCATGTAGAAGGTAACATGTGAGCTGGATCTTGGGTCTTCTACTGGGGACAAGAAACTCACCCAATTATCCCCTCTCTGGACACCTTTGCCTCTTAGATAGCAGTCTCTTCCTTTTCTTCCTCCTCCTCCTTCTCAGTTTCCCTCACACTACCCCCATATCTAGCCTTGGAATTCTAGTTCATCAAATCTCCTGCTTTCACATCAGCCAATAATGCCTGACCCATCTTAACCTCCTCTCCCTTCTACAATGAATGACAAAAAACAGTGCTAGTCCCAGCCCCTCCTTCCCCTCATCCCTGGCTTCTTTCACAGGAGGGGGGACAAAGGAAGCTTGAAAGTGCAGTCATTTGTCAAAAGGAGGCCAGGGGAGTGGTAGGGTAGATGCCAAAGAATAATGCTGGAACAACCAAGCTGACATTTCTTTTATCTGCCCTGATAATGGACCGAAACCACATCTAGAGCTGTCTCTTCTCTGTAGCTAGGGAGAGTGATAAACTCTCAGCCTCAGCTTCACACCCAGCCTAGACTCCAAGACTGGTGCCAATCTCTCTGCCAGGTCCTACTGCAGCTATCTGTTGATACAACTTGGTAGAAGCCAGGAGGCAGCTCCAAGATTGAGCTGAGAGCCTTTGCTCCTGGAGCCACACCTATCCATCCTCTTGTCTGTCCCTCCACTCATCCATCCATCCATCCATCCATCCATCCATCCATCCATCCGTCCGTCCGTCCGTCCGTCCATCCATCCATCCAGTCAGCCAGCCAGGCAGACAGCTTTAAATCAAATTAAAATCAATTAAATTCCACTGGTATAATGGAAATATTGCAGTACTTTTAGTCAGGAGAAATCATTTCAAATCCCAACTGCAACACTTAATACCTATTCAGTCATGAGCAAGACAGGTAGCAAGTCAAAGTACCTGGATTCAGATCTTTCCATCTGGCATATACTCCTG